GCTGGGGGGGAGGGGGAAGAGGAGGAGGAGGAGGAGGCAGGAGCTGCCTCCATTCCTGACTGGCACAGGCACCTGGAGGCCTGTGCAGGCGGAGAGGAATAGGATGGACATCCATGTCCGTACCCCAGCCTGTCCTCAAAAGGTTTTCACAAACAAGAAACAGATAATTAGATAAATAAACTAGATAAAGCCATGCCTGGGCAGAGCTTCACACTGCTCCCTGGGGTACACGCGGTGCGGTGACTTCTTGGGGTGGTGGGCTTCTTCCCATCCCTCTCGGAGTATCCTGGGATTTTACTTAGAAAAAGGGGCGTGCAATCGCTTCGCCTGGATGCAAAATCCCAGCCAGGCTTGCCTCCATCTGCACCGCCTCTCCCTTCACATGGACCTCTCGAGGCCAACCTGGTTTGCTGAGCTCGGCTTCTCTTAACCCAGCTCTCAAAACTGAGACACTTCCCTAGCCCAACGTGACCGAGTCGTGGCACGTGTAGTTCGCTCGCTCTCCTCCTCCCCCGGGGACAACCATCTGCAAGCTGAGCCCGGAGCAGTTGCAAGGATGCATCACAGTTATTTTTACCATCTCCCGGCTGCTCCGGGTGTGTGCAAGGGAAAAGAGGAAGAAAAAGTGCACCTGGGACCTGGTGGGGGTATCCAAGGGCTCCGGAGAGCACGTGCACCCAGCCCACATGGCACAGGGCTGTCCCCTGCCCCTGGGGAGGCAGAAAGAGGTCCAAGAGCTGGAGCTGTCGAGCACGGCCACCATCAAATCAAACTAAAATGGAGGCAGGTACTAGAGAAACAGGCAGGAGAGGCCCCTACGGCAGCGGGGACAGAGGATCACCTTGCCAGGGAGCATGGGAAGGGGCTTGGGTGATGGCGGGGCTCTGCCGTGGATCAAAGCAAAGCCCTGTGGGGGCCTTTCCACACTCCCGTGTTGCTAAAATCCGTGCTGGGTCCCTATCAGGATGCCTCAGGGTCAGCATGAGTTTCAGCATGGGAAGCAGCAGCTGGAAAGTGAGGGCGAAGTCCAGGGCAAAACTTCTGCCGGTGGCAGGAGGCAGCGGGTGCCCCCAGCTCCTTCCACGGGTGCTTCCAAAGCGCACCCCAAAAGTCACCGGCAGGGAAGGGGAACATGGCCTCAGCCCCAGCTGGGGGGTAGACACCAGGTCTCTGCTCCCCAGGTGGGGGGGGGCACAGGACCACAACCGGGCAGGAATTAAATGAAGCACCCTCTTAACAGCATCTTGTGAATAAACGATGCTGCGCTTCACCTCCCTGAGTTACTTCCTTGCGGAAGAAACGCGAGTGGTTTTCGGAAGCGGAAATACTGAAGCGTGGGGCGGGATGCAGAAGCAAGGCAGGCAGCAGGCAGTGCTGGCAGGGGCACAGCACCCTCGGCCAGATGTACCACAGGGGCCTAGAGAGACCCCAAAACCTGTCCGGACCCTCCAAGGGGGATTAGATTAAAGGCATAAATTCTGGCAAACTTTATGCTGTGTCAGCATCTAATGCTGCCCCCCAGCCACTGCCAGCCAGAGCTTGTCCCACTGTTGGGCTCTCCTGTCTCCTCCGAGTCCAAACCTCACAGCACGGGGACAGGAGACCCCACGACCGCCTGGGCTCAGCACCACATCCGCATCCGGCACAGCTCGGCCTGCAGATGCCCGCCCGCCTGCTGCAGCATTTGCCAGTGCCAATGGAGCCGCCACCGCAGCCCGATGGCACCGGGCACCCCTAGAGCTGGACAGGCACGGTCCCTGCAGGGTTACTGCCAGGGAATGGGAGATGGGAATGAACAGGAGCCGAGGACCCATGGGGCACCCAGGATGTGTGCAGGGTGCCCATCTCCTGCACCGTGTCTGCTTTGCCCGACGAAGAAAAGCATCACAGTGCAGATAGCTCATAAAACCAGGCAGCGCCCAGGGCCGCTTCCCAAAGCCGCCATGTGCTCTATGGAAACAAGAGCCCCTACATGAGCTATCATCAGCTCTTTCTCCAGCGATTCGAAATAGCAGGAGGGAAGCCCTTCAGCTGCATCATGAATCATCCCTGGGAGGCAGAGTGGTTATTTTTACGGTGCTCTGGCTTGCGTGGAGCTGCCAACGCATTCCCCCCAAGATGGGCTGCACTGCTGCAGTGGGAGATGCGGTCCTGTCCCTGCCGGGGGGCCTGCTTTCATGGGGACCGGGAGTCCCAAGGGCTCATCATCCCATGAGGTTCCCTGTCAGGGGAATGTGACGGTGAATGCCATCAGAGAGGTTCGCCTTTGCTCAGTGGAAAAAGGAAAAGCTGTGCTGCTACCGGGGTTAGCTCGCTCGCGGGAACAACCTGCGGAGCTCAGGACGTTGGCGTGAGTCCTCTCCCCTCTCCCTGTGCCCGCTGGCTCCCGTGAAAGCCGACGGCTACTTTCCCCTCGCCAGGGTCTCACCCCTTTGGGCAGCACCACAGATCACCATCACCCTCCACAAAAATGAAACTAAAAGGGAGAGGAGAAGGGGGGCCGGATCTTGCTAAGCGCAGGGATGAGGATGCATTGCAATGTGGCTGGGCTGGGCGCCCCGCAGTAAATCGTATAAGCTTCAGCACCTCTGTCACCTCAGGTGACAAACATCAACCTTGTGAAGAAGGATGCAGCAGGCAGGGGACCGGGGGCCATGCCCACCCACCCCGGTCTCCCCGTCCTCCTGCCCCTGGCTCTGTGGGGCAGGAGCCCTGTAGACGAGAGCAGCAGGAGAGCTCTTTCAGTTTAATTGCCTGAAAAAGCCCCATTTGAAGGGGCGACAGTGTGACAGCAAGCCACCGGCTCATCCCGCTCAAGCACAGGGGACAGACAGGCTGTGTGTGCCATTGCCCTCCTGGCCGCTGGGTTGGGTGCCATTGCCCCAAGCCCTGGCCAGTCCCAGGGGGCTGTGGGGAGGAGGGCTGGGAGTGGGGACAGTGTGCGGAGCTGGCACCACAGACGGGGCTGAGCCGTGGGGTTTGCCAGCCTACACCGGCACACCGCTATCCACGCGCGTCCTGCAGTAAGAACAATCCTGTGGCAGCACAACGAGCTGGGGACCACGCTCGGGTGCGGGGATGGAGGCATGAGGACGGAGGTCGGAGGCTAGGCAGCGGTGATGGGCTCGCCGTGCCACACCAGCACCCGCCGGCAGCCCGGCCCGAACCCGGGCTCCCATTCCCTGCAAAAGCCAGCACAGGAGTGGGGCGAGCTTACGCAACACGGTGCGGGGGGGAAATATTTATCAGGCTGTTTAAAGGAGAAACAGGCAGGAGGCCAGGCAGAAAGAGGAGGGGAGCGAGCGCACAAACACAGGAAGGAAGTGGCACGTCCCTGCCTGCCACTGGGGCGGGGGCCACGGCCCCCCCTGGGCCCACTCCGGGCTGCCAGGGCGTCCCTGGAGTCTCCAAGCATCCCTCCCCAGAGGGTCCCCGACGTCCCTCGTTCCCCTGGAAGGGACGGTGTGCCGCAGAGGGGGTTGGGGCACTCAGGGTCAGGGCTGCTGCTTGCAGCCAGCTCATCCTCAGTGAGCAGGGACACAGGGAACCTCAAACTTTGGGCCGTGAACCGGTGCCGGCAGGTGCCTTCAGGCAGGACCAAGAGGTGCTGGGGCGAAGGGGGAAGCTAGGGAGTCACTGAGAGCCTGCTGGTGTGGTGGATGTATGGACTGGTTTCACATCGGCCCCACGCTGCCTTCCTCTTCCCCACACAGGAGCTGCAGCCACAGGCATCCCCTTGCAAACGCTGCCCCAAAACCAGGGGGAAGGCAGAGGAGGAGGCCAGGCAGGAGAGGAGCCGAGTGGGGACAGAGGCTGCCGGAGGACGGGGCTGCCAAAAGGAGAAGCGATCCCCATCCAGACCCATTGCCCCACCACCCTGGGGCACAGCCTCTTTGGAGGAGCAGAGGGTGGCAGGATCAGCCCCAGCTCCCATCCCACACGAGAGTGCATGGAGTTGCAGGGGGGAAAAAAAAACCCCAAGGACCAAAGCACTTTCTGCAACCCCAGGCAGTGACATACCTGCTCGTGCATTTCAAGTTCAAAATGGAAAGAAAACCCCACAAAATAACCCAAACCCCCTTGGTTTCTCAGGTTGGGTCCCCACCACCCCTAATGCCCCCAGCCGCCTGAGCACAGCCCTGCACC